TCTATGAGGCTTTAACTTTAAGCATCACAATTTGCAGTGCCAGTGTGTTTGGTGTCTCAGCAGAATCAATGCAATGTTCTTATGATTCGAAAGGAAATAGTGTTCCCACAATTCTCTTGCTGATGCAGGATAGATTATATTCGCAAGGCGGTCTAAAGGTACTGATTATAATACCATTTGACATTCAAATAGTTGGGATTTTATGCTCACATTTCAATATTGAATGAATTGTCTTACATTTGATTTTGGGTGGTTTTCCAGGCAGAAGGGATTTTCCGCATAAACCCAGAAAATAGCCAGGAGGAGCATGTGAGGGACCAGCTGAACAGGGGCATTGTGCCTGATGATATTGATGTCCATTGTTTAGCAGGCCTTATAAAAGCCTGGTTTAGAGAGCTTCCTTCAGGGGTTCTGGATGGACTTTCTCCTGAACAAGTTCTGCAATGTAACACCGAGGAAGAATCTGTTGAGCTTGTTAAGCAATTAAAGCCAACTGAGGCTGCATTGCTCTCTTGGGCTGTTGGTCTTATGGCTGATGTTGTCGAGGAAGAAGATTCCAATAAAATGAATGCTAGAAATATTGCAATGGTCTTTGCTCCAAACATGACCCAGGTATATTTCCATTATTTCTTAACATTCTTAACATATCGAAGTCTCTTTTTATTGCAAAAGGAGAAGCAATGTAATAAAATGAAACAGCTTTCGCTCTTAAAATCAGGAAATATTATTGTAGCCTCACATGTTCACTTGATGGTAGTAGATTCATGTTTGGCTAATGTGTTTGCAAATTTTTTTGACGTAATTGAACGTTTTTTCTCCTTGTCAGATGTCTGATCCACTGACAGCATTGATGCATGCTGTACAAGTAATGAACTTGCTCAAAAACCTAATCACGAAAATGCTGCGAGACCGTGAAGAGACTTCAGCTGGAGGATATTCACCCATGTCGTCTCATTCATCTGGTCACCAAACTGAAACTGATGAGGAATTTGACAGTCAGCACGACATGGAGACCAGCTGTGAGCTGAGACAGGCACCATCGGACTATGATGATCATGCCCATTTCAGCACTGGCAGTGATGAAGAAGCTGACGACGATGACACTGAGTCATTAAGTGAGGTAGAAGAAAGCTTCTTGAGGCAGTTGGACGAGGATAAAAATTCCATTGATATGTTTGTGGAGCAACCAGCAAGTGGTCCGCCAAGAGACTGTTCAGGTGCTAGAAGTTTTTCTGGATCTAAAATGGAGTCCGGACTATCATTCACTGATAGCAAAAATGAAAATTCAAGTTCTGCCTCAAGTGATGGAGAAGATTCAAGGGCAAGTGTGATAACTGTAGGCCAAAAGATTGACATAAGAAGCCAATCCAAAGGATGGAAAGACACTGAAGATGATGAGCAGACGATTGACACAAATTAGCAGTGTTCGTTTTGACTAAGAAGTCATCTGGGTCTAGTGAATCTGTTTGACTGAAGTTTCCCTCAACATGCTTAGGAAAATGCTTTGTTTGCAGATTTTGGTTTGCTCTCTCTGACCATGGTTGCTTCTGTAAATTAATACTGAACTAATTCTGTGTGCTTGCTTGAGCTAGGCTAGGAAGTGTCCAGTTGTGGTGGATTGTTAAAGAGTCATGATTCAGCTTTGGGCTGAATTTGTGCTCATTCTGTCAGTTTCAGCACAGAGCTGAAAACTTTCAATTTATGTTTCATCGGAGTGCATTTCTAAACTCGGCAATTTTAGGCTCATCTGTAACACGTTCTCCATGTCTAATTCCGTGTTCTCGGTCTAACAGATGAAAATCTGATCCTGAGTACACTGTTACTTGGTTCACTTGTTCTACGCGTGTGCTTAACTTGCTAAACTTAGTTCATCTATGGTAAAGTTGGGAGCTTTAGCTGAGTGCTTTGGTGTGCTGTATCGAGGCTCTATTATAGTATATCATAGAATATTGCATAGACTCGTGAATACCTAAGAAAATCAGTACTCCCGTATTACTAGACATTCATTGTCACCGTATATATATTGTTCATCATTGTACCCTTCGTGAGTCATCCTTTCTCTGTTTTTCAATTCCACCATGCCAAATTGAGCTTCACCCTTTCAAGCTTCTATAGAGCTGACTTCTACCTTTACAAATTAGGTCATCCTATCACTGTCCAAACTCTTTCCTAATCATTTTTCTTAGTCTCTCTTGACTTTGACTTTGATGGTTCTATAACAAAAACCTTAACTTTTTTAGAGAGCCTTAAATTTTTCAGAGAATATGGTGAGAATTGTTTCTTCCCTGAAAATGTTAATTTTTTATTAGAGTATGATAAGAATTGTTTTTTCCCTGAAAATATATTAAAATAATATTTATTTATTTTTTAAAAATTTATTTTTAATATTAGCATATAAAAATGATCTAAAAATACTAAAAAAATTAATTCGAAGTAAAACAAAATTTTAAATTTTAATAAAAAATAAGTTCAACTTCAATTTTAAATGGGATCTTAATCCAACTGATCTTTTTCTTAATCTCTCACACCTTCCTTACCTTCCTTTCATTTTGCCTTTCACTCATTTGTGTCCTCCTTGTTCTTGTTCACCACTCTTGATTTAAATCTTCTTGTTTATCTCATATTCGCAGCCGCATCATTTTCTTCTCCTTACACACCTCTTTTAGGTGTGTAAAATCAATATCATATGATCTCATAACCTTGTAGTACTTGTTTTTCTTGAGCATAATTAGCATCCTTGTTTGATTGTCTTTGAACTATCATCTCTTACTAAGACCAAATGATATCTTAAATGGTGATCAATTATAATTATCAAAATTTCTTTCTTAACTTCTAATGTTACTTGTTCCCTAATGCCATATGATCTAATTATGAATGTGATAAGTTGTAAAATGGATATATAAAATGAAATTCATGCCAAATGGGACTCAATATTACAAAGTATTTGGTTGCCAAAATCTATCATTAGTAGTAAATGGTTAATTTTCAAGAGACATTTAGTCTAGTGGTGAAACCTTATGTTATTTAGGCAATGCTATCTGTTGATGTTACTCGTGGCTAGTTAATACATCAACTTGATGTTTATAATGCTTTTATTTTTAATGGATTTCTTCATACATATATGTTTATGGCTTAGTCTCATGGCTTTATTGATCATTGGTTATATACCATTACTTTTATTGTTTTAAACAAACATCTAATGCATGTTTTAACTAGTTTGGTCAATTCTTGATCATTTTGGATTTTCATAACTCTAGAGTTAATGCTTCCTGGTTAACTTTTTGTTCTCCTAAGGCAATTATAAATTACTAACTAGTGATACTCCAACCTTTCTAAAGTATCTTATTACAAGTTTAGTTGCTAAGTTTTACATTCGTGATCTTAGACCACTAGATATATTTTCTTGGAATTGAGATTCCATCCATTATAACTGATTTGCTTCTTTTGCAACAACTATTCATTGCTAATCATTTTATCAATTAGTATATCTATTATTGTTGGTTCTCATTTGGATCTTATACAATTTAAATAGTTAGTTGGTGTTTTTCAATATCTCATGTTCACGTCATATGATATTCATTTGGTAATTAATAAGGCATGTTATTTCATGCATTCTCTCATTAATGTTCATTGGTTGGTATGTAAGAGCATCTTGCACTATTTATTTAGTACTTCATTCTTTAGATTCCACTTGACTCATCAAAAGGATCTCTTTTTCAGTAGGTTGCACTATTTATTTAGTACTTCATTCTTTAGATTCCACTTGACTCATCAAAAGGATCTCTTTTTCAGTAGGTTGCACTATTTATTTAGTACTTCATTCTTTAGATTCCACTTGACTCATCAAAAGGATCTCTTTTTCAGTAGGTTGCACTATTTATTTAGTACTTCATTCTTTAGATTCCACTTGACTCATCAAAAGGATCTCTTTTTTAGTAGGTTTACTAATTCTAAACATGATGGTAGTGTTGATGATCGAAAGTCTATTAATGATTATATCATTTTTTTTTATCACAATGTGATCTCTCATAAATCTGACAAACAACATATTGTTATTAACCTTTCTTTTTTATAGAAGCCAAATATAAAATTATTGGTAATGTTGTTGTCAAACTCAAATGCATCATAACTCTAGCTTATGAATTTGTATTTTCAAAATAGTTCTCCTTTTCTGTGGTGTGATAATTTAGAAGCCACTTATTTATTTATCAATTTAGTTTTTCATGTTCGCATACTATGACATAGTTACTCGAAAGGGACTTAAGATTTAATTTATTGCTTTTCATAATCAGATTGTTAATGTGCTCACTAAATTTTTCGGATCATCTCGGTTAATATTTTTACGATACTAGTTGAATATAATGTATATCCTCGTTACGAGAGAATATGGAAATAATATAATCAAACATAGCTCTAGACTCATCTAGCCCTAGTTACCTATTATATTATTAGTAAAATATCTATTATATAAAGATTCACTAAACAAAACATATTAGGATTAGTTAAGGTTAGTTGAGTCAATCCCTGTGCGTGTGGTACATATAGTGATTATTGGAACAGAGTACAAAGTAACTAATGTCATTGTTCATGACAATTTCTTCCCTTTCTCTCAAGTTAAATTATCTCCCTTGCTCTGTTACTATGAAGTTGAGATTTTCTGAAAAATGTTGGCAACTGCAGGCTGTTTTGAATTTTTGGATCTCGGGGTCCAGATAGGATTTCTAGATTGTTAGAGTTGAATGTCCTTGGCTCCTTTTTACTTCCAAATTTATGGTTTCATGTATTGAGAAGGCCTTTTTTTTTTTTTCGTGCGCAAAAGGTTCTTTAGACTAACTTTTTCTCTAGACTAGATCCATGATTTGGTGGCTTGTTAGGCATAGCTCCATGATTTGGTGACTGTACCCATATGATAAAGAATCGAGAATTTGCTCAAAGCTACCAGCTAACAATCCAGTTTATGAGAAAGCTTGGAGAATCACACAACCTACAGTACCATTAAATACATTTTTTTTAGATTTCTCATCAAGAAGAACTCCTGAAATGCAAACAAGTGGATGTTTGCTGGGAACATGCACAGACTAAAAGATTCAGGGGAAAAAAAAGCTGCTAGTTGCATATCTCATGTACAATTGTAATCTACAAGACAAATATACTGTGTTTAACCTCTCACCTCTCTTTCCTAAACAGGGGAAAATTCATAAAAAACAAACAAACAAACAAACGAAATCCATTAAAACTCAGAATGGTCTGAAACTTGAGTTAGAAAAGGAAAAGGAAGGAAATCCTGCACAGTTGAATCGTTTAGGACGCCAAGCAAGCCTCCCAAAACAACTTATCCTTCTCCTTCTCGTTCATCGATTCATGGCTTGAATCCACTGAAACACATGACTTTTGCTTCACTGGTAAGCCAACATGGACATGATGAACCCATGATTGACAAACCTCAACTCCCTCCTCCTCTTCATCATCATCATCACCACCACCAACCACATTGTAATTGACCTGGTATGCTTCAACCTCGCTGCAGGCAACGTTAATGATGTCACGGACACAAGAATGGTCAGCTGTATCACAGCTACATGATTCTGCATCATCATCATCATCAACAAGATCTATAGTGGACATGGTGGGATCGGAATCAACCTCAGAATCACCCGCAGCTTCCACTAGCAAGAAAGGAGACACATCAACAGAATTCTTCACTCTGTCCATTTCTTTTTCTAAAATGGGAGGGAGAAAAAGATAGAGAACCTTTCTCAATTAATGTTTTGAAAGATTGCGACCTTGTTCAGAAGATTTCCCGTACCAGTACAAACCTTGAGTGTTTTATATTAAGTAATATGCATAGGGTTGTCAGGTAATTTGCAGAGTTTGAATTGAGGAGAACAAGCTTTTCTTGCACAGGTCAGCCTCATAAAAAAAAATGAAAGGACACAGCCATGTGGCTAATCTTCTAGAAGGTATCCTGTGGTCGGGCATTCGACATAATCAAGTATGGCTTCTAGAAACATGATAAAAATAACCTGGTATTCCCAAAATAAATAAATACTCGGGTTTTGTTTTCTATTTTTCTTATGTTCTTAGTCATATTTTATCCAACATGCAGTTCTTAAAGAAAAATTGTAGCGGTACTGATTATTTAAAAAAATATTTCAAATTAATTTTTTTTATAATTTATATCGTTTTAATATATCAATATTAAAAATAAATTTTAAGAATAAAAAATATTACTTTAATAAATTTATAAAAATATTTTTAAAAAACCAAGTTAAAGAAACTCCGGAGTCACGCAATCAACGTCAAGCTTTGAATTAATCCTATAACTAGCAGACTTGTGAGTTGAGAATTAATATTGTCAAAGTTTTCTAGAGAAAATGGAAAGCAAGAAGCATAAAAGAAAATGCAAGTCTAATATTTCTACAGTCAAGACAAGTGATTGGAATATTTTCCTATAAATGATCAACTATTTCAACCATGACTGGGTAAAAGCGGGGAAAAACAAAAGAAAAATAGCTCTCTGTGATCATACATGCCTTGGCTTTGTGCAGTTGAAGGGACCAGGAAAGTATCAATTTGGAGCAATTGAAACGTGGGGGGAAATGGAGGGGTGGCGTCACCGTCGCCTGAGTATTCAAACAGAAGAACAAGTGCTCGTCTAGCTAAGAAATTACCGGGGAAAACGGAAGGGTCGGGAAGCCCACAAAAAAGGGCAAAACAAGATCTAAGCTTGACTTTGTGGCTCACCCACCCACAGCACTGAATCTTCAATGCCATGATTAACATTTGGTTTGAGAAGAGCGTTACCTTACTTGGAGTAATTGTGCACGGCAATCGCCTGGGCTCCACTCCACCACCACCCTTCATCACTACTCTAACTACAGAAAGCCATTTCAATCTACCACGTGTTGTCCTACTCGCAGAAGAGATTACCACCGGTGACACGGGTTTTTTACCTTCTCTTGAAAATATATCGAATTGATTCTGAAATATATTAAAGATTTATTTTATATAAAGTTATTATAATTTTAAAATAAGAGGCAAAATAAGTGATAGTTTTGAATTTTAATGTTTTTGTTGCCTCTCAATTTATTTTATTTTTAAAAAATAATTTTATTATTTATTATTTATAATATATATCTTACCTTTTGTTCTGAATACAAAAGTTAGGGTTGTTACACTTTTATTCTCTAGTATCACGTTTTTATTGTCTATTTTTAAAATAAATATTTGATATAAAAAAATATCATGTGATTTATTTTTATAAAATTAAATGATAAATATTTTTTTTAAAGTAAATGTTATTTTTTATTACTTTTTTTAAATATTAAGTTCATTTATAATTAAGCATTTTTTTCAAGATAAAATAAATTTAGATAAAATAAATTATTTAATTCATAGTTAAAATTTAATATATAAATATTTTTTCTCTGACACGCAGCATACCGCGGCCAAATGAACTAGAGTAGGGTAAGCCTTAAGTTGAGTAAAATGGTGGGCGTGCGTGCTTGTGATAATATATATATAGTTGCAGTAATCAAATGAGTAACTAGTGTCTAATCCATGACCGAGTAAAGCAGCACTCCATTGACTGCTTTGAATTCCTTACGAGCAAGTTGTCTTCAATGTCTGCGTATTTTCCATCATTTATCATACGTCGAAGACTTGCCGTGATCATCATACGACCTCCTCGACAATTCCCGCCGTTTGCAGTCTTCACCATCATTACTCCGCGGGAAAGGTTCTTTTTCTTCTTAAAACGTGTTTTTTAATAATTATTTTTTAAATTATATTAGCATTGGTTTGATATAATTTAATTGATTTTATAAGTGTGAAAACAATAAGAATAATTAATAAAAAATATCATTTAGCTTAAAAAAATTTAAATTATTGTTTTTATATATTAAAATGATAATATATTTAATTAGTCCAACTCAATTTAGAACACCTAGTTAAATTTATATCTTGAATCATGAGATTATAAAAATCCTATAAAATTAAATTAAATTAAATTATAAATTTTAATTCTTAATTATTTAAATAATAAATTTTTTAAAAAAGATCAATTAAGAAAGATAAAAAAATATATCAATTCAATTTAACTAGCTAAACCCGTGATCTGAATCATTAAACCAAGATAAAAAAAATCAAAATAAATTATAAAGTTTCGTTCCTAATCAATTAAATATGAAGGATAAAATTAAAAAAAAAACTAGAAAAATTTCCTAATCAACCAAATTGATCTATCAAATTCACGAGGCAGGCATAAAATTAAAATAATATTATAAAAAATGTATTAAAATAAATTATAAAATCTAATTTTTATTAAAGAATAAATTAAAAAAAAAGAGAGAAAAACTCAAATTACATGGTCAACACATCAAACATGATGAAATTAGAAAAATCTAAAACCAACAAAATATTATTCTAGTTAAAGAAAGATTTCTTCTTCTCAAATGGTTGTTTTTAACGTGTCTTATACAATCTCTAAATAAACGTCTATTATTTATTTATTTATTTTGCTATGAAAGAGAGCGAATCAAAACCGTAATTGGATTCCTTTAAATAATCAGTAAATCAAAAGCAAATAACAGAGTGTCTTTAGCTTTTTTTCTTTCTTTTAAAAGAACCTATCCACTTCGAATAAGGCAGCTTATCTAGAATGTTTTTGTTTTGCTGTGTGCCGGAAAGTTTTTAGCCTCCTCCAGGCAACGCAGACAAACAAAGATAAGATCAATGTGAGGACCCCAAGTTAACCAATAATATCCAAACTATTGAAATTATTCTTAGCATTCTTATAACAATTTAAATTTACTTGATTCTTTTTTAGTTTGGGTTTTTAAACAAATCACATGGAAATGGTTAGGAGATGATCTTGTTCACAGGGCAAGTTCAAAAAAAAAATCAACTTGGTATTGAAAAATAAAATAAAATAAAAACCTTACAATAAAGAATACAATTGAAAACAAATATGTATAAAAACAGTTAAAAAAAGTTAAAAACTTTGTATTAAAAAATAAAATTGGAAAGGTAAAAAAGATATAAAAAGAGAGGGAGAAGATTTTATTATATGATACAAAAATACAAAAAACTGATTTATCATTAATTTAATATTAAAAAATAAAATTATATAAAGGATGAAATTGAAATAAAAAATAAAAAATAAAGAAAAAACCCAAAGAAAATAAAAATTCTTATTAAATTATGGAATAAGAAGAAAAAAATAAAAAGATCGTGAAAAAGGGCCAACAAAGTTTTATTATTTGATAAAAAATATAAAAATTAATTTATCATCAACTCAATACTAAAAATTAAAATTAAATAAAATCTATGAAATTGAAAAAAAAACTTAAAAAAAAAAGATGGGGGAAACCCAACTGGGCAATAAAAAATGCCATAGACTTGTTAAAAAAATATATAAATATCAGGTCATATTTCATTTATAGAATTTAAACAATTTCGTTTCTAATATGAATCAAACCCACAACCTCACCTTAAATTAGGCGTGTTAACCACTGAACTACAATATTTATTGATTAACCAAGCGTTTATAATAATATATTACCCATTCTACCCATCTTGCTTCAAGTATGGATCCAACCAATAACCTAGTTTTAAGCCGTGTCTTAACCACTAAATTAAAATACATAACTAAGCAATTAAAATAATATATTAACTTTTTTCACCGTTGATTTAAGTAATTGTTTGGTATTACAATAATAATTATTTTTTAAAATTAAAAAAATATTTTTGGCATTAACATTTAAAAACAATGTGAATACAAAATAAAAATAAAATTTGGGGTTTTGATAACAAATAGAAAAATAAAATATTTTTTAAATATAAAAACAAACATGATTTTTTTTTTTTATAATAAATCATCTACATTAAAAAATCTTTTCAATGGGGTCATGGTTATCAAGCAGAAGACTACCACTGGTAAAATACTTACAGAAGTCAGAAGTGCTAATTTCTCCACCAACATCAAAACTGCCCCTCCCAATGTGCAAAATCCGATTGAACAATCTACTCAACACTATGTTTATAGGAGTAAATTATTAATTAATCTCTTTAGTTTTACAAAATAAATTAAATACCTTCCCTAATTTTAAGAGCTAATTAATCAATTTCTTTTATTCATTTCATTTTTTTTAAGAAGCGAAAAAAGGGAGAGAAATGTAAAGATTGACAAGCCAATTAGTTATTTTCTGAAACAAAGTACTATAAAAGTTAGAACCATCGACATTAGTCAATGGATTGTTTAATTAGGTTTTGAAACTAGAGAGGCTATATAATTTGTTTTGAAAACTATAATTTACTCCCCTTTTTTTATAAAAAATTATGCATTATTTTAGTACGTCACAAGAGGGCTTTTTTTGTTTTCAATGAATATCATAGATAAATAACCCATAGCTCAACACCAAACCCACTAAATTAGTAAATAAAGGCAACACAAAACCTACAATACCAGCAGAATACAGTATTCCAAATGGAAGATGAAGAAAAACACTGGTATATTTCTATTACCAGCTCCGAGAATAAATACTTTTGATCCTTCAAAGCTGAAATCATGAAATTTATCCTGCATCACCAGGATAATGACCTAAAATATAAATTATCCCGTTCATTTCGTAATCCGCACAAGGATTTCGTAATCTATCAAGCTGTCGAAACCCCCCTCCCAACGGTTCCTTGCGTGAGGGCTCTATGCTGAGAAGAGCTGCCGCCCAAGTAACACATGAAGCATACTCCCAGCTCTGTACCATATCTCTGGAAGGTTGAAAGCTTCTATAAGCTCTGCAATCCTCCCTATTTTACAAATTTTAGTCATGGAATTAGTACTCGAATCATAGAGAACAAGGAGAGAAGAACAAAAGCAGGACAGTCGCCATATCATTCACCCAAAATGTAAAAATACATCAACACATGGTTTTCTTCCTTTGTACAGTCTAGATATAAGCTGACTGCAGCAAAGAGAATGCCCTTCATTTGTGTTATATGAGAACAGTTCACCTTAGTGCAAGCGTCATCTTTTTCCATATGTGATTGGGTTGACGTGTGTGATTCATTCAGAAATATGTATGATCCATTACAGCTACTTAAAACCTTCAAATAGATGGTAACAATAATCTGACATCACATCCACAATGAATGCAATTCTGTTTGACGTGTCACATTAACTCTGTGAGGAAACAAAACTTTTGGAATGGAGAGCCTTCACCCATTCACATGAACTTGTAACAGCCAGTTATACCAGAAAGTCAGTGTGCAGATCAAGCAACAACAGCATCAACGAAGAAAATCTTCTGAAAAAAGTAGCAGACGCACACATGCAGACAAAGCACACAGAATGGAAGAAATGATCCCAGTCAGAAATGGGAATATAAAAGTTTCAGTGTCAGCCAATTTTCCAAGCTCAACTCAAGTGTTAGAAAGCTGTATTAGGTGGCAATACACAAGGAACAAGCTCTCAACAACTCAACAATAGATAGTTTTATAAAATTCATAATGCTCCCTACGGGTGTAAATGCACTGGCAATGTATTCCATTACTTGAATTATCCTCTTCATAAGCTATTTAAACTTCTACAAGGAAAATGAAAGAGAAAAACAGTTGCATGACAAGACAAGAATACAGATAACAAAGAGCAGTTTTGGAGCGATGGTGGTAGTTGACTGGACAGAGAGTTAGATTTTACATGACTGAACTGATTTTAATTGAGCCCATTACAATAGAACAACCACAGGTTACACAGTGTTTAAGAGCATTTGAATATGAATCAAGACCCATCATAACCTCATATTTTTTGGACATTCAGTTGACAAAGATCAGGAAAAAATGGAGAGGAGGACTTAAAAACAAATTGCACAATGTAATCCAAGTTCATCCAACCCAAGAACCCACCACCACAGTTTACTTGCAGCAAGACCAACAGGAAAGAGTAAAAAAAAACATTTTATTATCAAAAGCAAAACAGGGAAACTGTAACATGTAGGAACTGGAATGATATAAAGTGACCAATCTTGACAACACTTAATTCTCCGTAACTTAAGAAAAGCATATCACGAAGAGGTAGTCCATAAAGACACAAGAACAAATTGGGTATTCAAGTACTTTATGGAAGCCACTTGATTTGTTACTGGCCAGAACACTCTCTAAAGCACCAAACAGAAACACATGTATGAGTATGGCCCTGTTTGTTTTTGCGGTTGGAAAATGATTTTGCAAAAATTTGATTTTTTTTTTTGCTTTAATTTTTTTATGTTTTCAGATTGTTTTGATGTGTTAATATCAAAAATAATTTTTTTTTTTAAAAAAAGCATGCTTTTGATGCATTTCCAAAGAATTGTTTTATAAAAAAGCACCGTTACCACAATGCCAAACAGACTTTAAGACTAATTAGGTCTATCAATTTTGGAGAGACACCATATTTCTTTCTTTTTTCTTCATAGTCCCAGTACCTTAGAGTGATATAGAATGACAAGTGATTTCCTACAAGGAGTGATCTAGATGCGTTCCTAACCATCAACAAAACCCATGTTAACATTAAGCAGATGCTAAGAATAAGAAAATCCAAGGCTTGGCCTGGGAAAGATTTGAATGTAGTTATCAAGGATATATTCCAAGACATACATGGAAGGAGAGAAAAACAGCCCCTTCAAATGGTTAAAGAAATAAAAAGCAATTGAGAATTCAAAGGCCAATAGCAGAATACCTTTTTCATCCAGAACTTTGTTGGAACAATAATGTTTCCCTTCATTCTTTTCCTCGTGCCACATCTTTGTGTAACAGTCGTCTCAAGGAAACAACAATTTAAACATGAGATATATAAGTTTTTCGACCTTCCTGAAACTCATTCAGCCTTCAAGAAGAGCAATCTTCATAAAGTTGATCGAGGACAAAAGTTTAAACTTAAATGCATGCAAATGCAATCAAAGGTATGCCAATCATGTGAAATGAATTACAGTAGAAACAAAATAAAGAGCTGAAAGAGATTATCAGAACCTAAGTTCAAACTCGAATGCAGGCAAAGCTTCAAGATCAAACATACCTTTATCCTGTGAAATGAGCCACCAGTTTCTTCAGTGTTTTGGAATGAGGAACTGCAAGAGATCATACCAAAAAATTGTTAAACAAAAGAAGCATCTTAAGTCCTACTGATCCAGTAAGATTTATCAAAAATCCAATTAATAAGGGGAAACAAGCATTTATGATCAATCGCAACCTGACCTAAATGGATAAGATAAATATCACCACAAGCACCGTGTAACCAATGCAGGACAAAAGCACAAAAACTCACAGGCATGATATCATCATCACAATACCTGAATAGTTCTGGACCCGAATACATATAATTAAGATGAACAGGGGAGGGGGGGTCCATGTAACTTGGGTTTGACAGAACCATTCATGCACTTGTCATGAAACAGGCAGAAGTTTTGTGGTGGCTACTCAATATCCTACAATTTCACTGTTATGTCACACAATTTCAATACTGTGATACATAAAAGAAACAACGAATAACAGGACAATTGCACAATTCACTAAGCAGAGGATGAGCCATGTTTGATGCTACCAACGTGTCCTTAAACATACTTACCCATGATTCGTTTAGCGGACGAGAAAAGGAAACAAAAGAGAAAAAAATGGTCATTTAATAAATAGCAGAAAATCAGAGAAGAATCTGTCAAAGATGTTACAACAACATTACTATCAGAAGCTCTTAATGGAAAAATTAATAAATTGATAATTAATCTCTAAATGAACTTCCATGGTACACAAATTACAAATTGTATTGGCGCACAACGCACCATGAATTACAAGTTCTGGAAATTTCAATCCCGTGAAGCAATTACAAGGATGGGGAAATGCAAATGACCAGATATTATCTATCCACCCCAATATGCTGATACCAGTCACTCCCATATATCCAGGTTGCATGCGACCACATATCACAGAGAATTCTGCTTGCTTCCTTGACTCACCTGCCGATCAATAAGGTTTGCTCTGTTTATTGTCTCTCTTAAGCTGAACCTTCAATTTCTTACCACCTAATTGGAATCCATTCATCATGGTAATAGCATTTTGAGCAGCTGCTGGTGAGTCATAACTAACAAATCCTGCAAATAAAAGCCTATAAGATACATAGATAGATCTCCAAATCGAAAATGTCAGATTCACATGTATCTGTAAGAAAGAGTGCATACCAAAGCATTTGCTAACACCAGTTGCTTTATCAACAAAAACCTTGGCACTTAAGACCTTACCAAATGCTTCAAAAGCATTGGCTAGTTCTTGATCGCTGAATTCCTGAGGTATGTGATATATAAACAAATTAGCACCAGGTGGACCTAAGACAAAGAACACAGGCTGTTAGCAGAAAAGCACCAACAAGAATGAAAAAAAGAGTAACAATTAACAAAACACAGAATGATTGTATAGGCAACAAACCTTCCACTTGAACCCCAGAACTTCCACCGACACCTGACGGTGTTGCAGAATTACTGCTCACAACTGTGGGTGACAATGCACCAGGTGAACTACTCAAAGGCCGGTGAGTCATCATTGCTCCAGGATATGCCACTGGATACTGAAGACCTGTCACCGTATGATAAGCAGAGCCCATATAAGTAGCAGGAGCATAATTTCTAGGTGAAATGTTGGGTGAAAGGTCAGGTCTGATTCCACCACGCAATGCATTTCCTTGATTTACTGGAGGAACCATGCTATGAAATGCAGGCTGATTCTGCATGGGTGGCAGACGGTATGGCATAAGTCCATAAACTCCAGGAGCCTACAAGGAGAACAGAGATTACCACACTCTTAACACCATTTTGATTTTTGAATAGTAAATGAAAAAAAGGTGTAAATCAAATGAAGAAAGGCAAGCAAGAGACTAGGAAGTTATGGGGTAAGAAAGATCCTGACAAGTTCCAAAAGGTTCTGAAACTGCAGAACTGAGGTATTCCCTGAAAAATAGTTAGTAGCAAACAGACCTGGTATCCATATCCATTATAAGGGGGAGCATATCCCATTGGCAAGGCACCAAATAATGATGGATGTTGTGAATCAGTATTGGGCATAGCTTGAGATTGTGCTTTCTGGGCCCTCCGAGCCTGCCTTTCCTTTTCTGTATCTGCCCATTTGACAACCAAAGGAACACTTGAACCCTAACAAAGCAAGAGATAGTGATCAGACTGCATGTCATTAATTCATGCATCCATATTACTGCCGAGTTCTCAGGTGCTAAAAGGGTTTACAGAGACTGTCCCCTCTCCCCTCAATCCTTCAATAACTTTATATATAAAAAAAAAAAAGTCAATTTTAAAACTTGGAATCTCATTGCTACAACATCTGTCAATAAAGTGACAACATAAAATGGAAGATAAGTCTTGATTTTAAATTTTAAATTTGTTTCAAGGGAAAAATATATTGCTACAAAATTGTGAACAGTTCTATACCCTCACCTTGCACAGCCTATTCAGGAAATACAGATTATGGTTATTCAAGTTTGGAGAAAGCTACAGAAATTATTATAACACGCTAATTCGTGGCGCCATTTTGATCTGCCATACCAAAATAATTAGCATGCCCCCACTGAAGTAACCAAATGACCAATTTTACTGGGCAGGTCCATGATGTTACATTATGTAACACAACAACCTTATCTAACATGCGAGTTCAATTTGATAGCCAACATTGATTAAAAAAACAGAGACAGTAAAGGGTGACTTTTTCCATCACATTATTAACCAGCAAAGAATTAAAGTTGGGCTCTGACTAGAAAGAAGAGTAATTGCTTGAGCTTGAGAACCATCAGTCCAGTTAGCCAATAAAGCTCACCTCCATTTTATGCTTTCCATTGATGTCCTCCAGGGCAGCAAGGGCTTGTTCTTTTGTCTCGTACTTCAAAAAAGCACAGCCTACCAATTAATTAATTGACATCAGCAAGAACAGTAAAGTTCAGTGCTTCACAACAACAGCCAGAAAAGAGATCGGGAGTACTTTTGCTTGTTTGTTGAGAACCTCTTAGTATTTGCAAGTCTCTTATAGTACAATATACAGAGAATAAATCAGATTCTTCAGCTTCAGAAACATTTTTTGGAAGCATACCAACAAAGAGTTTGTGTTCTGGATAGCAAGAAGAACAAAAAAGAATCATAATGCAACAAGATAAATTAAATAAGACAGTGAATAAAATAACAGTAATCAGATAAGGCAATGAGGAATCTTGCTGCAGCAATCCAAAGTAATGATCTTAATGGCAACTAATCAACGTCAATGATATAATATTACACCTAGCCTTTCCAACTCGCCATCTGCATACTTCACTTGTAACGGACTAGATGCCTGAATTGGACAGAAAGAACAGGATGCATTTGAATTAGAGAGACAATGAGATGAATGCATCGGAGAGTAAGAAAAATAAAAGCACGGGTCATAAAAAGCTAGCACTGATCAAGGGCCACGTTGCAGATAATTAGATTCCAAAAAAAGCAGTTCTAACACTTGCACAGAGATATTTAACAAAAAGAAGGCATTGGGAGTTAAACCATTAAAAGAAACAGATTACCCATAGACAGAAAAAAGGCTAGGCCTAAACAGAAATCCTGATTGACCGAAGTACCTTGGCCAGCAAAATCCCAGATTGCATAACTATTCATCTATAACAACTGTAATTGAGAAACGGTATAAATAACCATCAAATGTCGAAGATCAATAGTGAACATATGTTGGAATTATAAAAATAATCCAGTATAATGAACTAACAATATCAATGTTTTTTTAATTACAACTGACTTTACAAGAAAATTTAAACTATTCGAATAACTCTTAACATTCCATCACACCTTATTCCTGTCGAACTTGGTTTCTGGCACAACTTCCTTCAAATACATTCTTCAAAACAATTTCCATTTTGGTTTAGAATCTCTCACCATTTTCTGTCTTCTACAAATTTTATTATGCATGAAGTGATTCACCCATTTATCTTTTTGTTGCCATCTAAATCCACAATTACCATAATTTACCCTCTCATCGCCAATATCCAATAAAAGTGCATTGGTAACTGCCAATCATGATATCCATTTGTCAAATTCAACTTCTTTTCATCCCTCTAAAACACCGACCCCTTTCCAATATACAATTAGCATCATCACTATACTCTCGTTAACTAAACCGGTCCTCATTGTAACAACCGTACTCTAACACGGTAAAATTTACATATGCTGCAAGCATATTCCACTACTGTAAATCACTGAGAATTGTTTTCACATGATTATCATGCTGGTAAATAATAACTAACTTAAAAATCATCAACATCAGTATATCAAACACAGTAGAAACGATTCCATGATTACATTTAGCCAAAGTCAACCACAGTAAGTAATCGCGGAAACTAAAAAAAAAAAACTACTTGAGTGGTTTGCCGGGATCGGAGATTTCATCTACAATACAATGTGATAGAAAACAAAGAAAACAGCAAGTAGTAAACTATACATGGAGAGATCAAATTAAAGAAAGAACTAACCCCAGGCAATGTTTTCTTATTATGACAAGCATTAACTGCCTTGTCTGCTTCTTGTCTGGAAGGACATATTAGAAAACAACAACCTAAAAATAAATAAAAATTATGGTTGTAAGAGTGACTGCACATTACGAATCTTGAATCGAAAGGGAAGAAATCAGGAGAATGTGAAGAAACCAAAGCAAGTAAGCAACCTCTGGAAGCGCGAGTTGTCTTGTCTTTAATGATGTTGACTTCGTCTACCAAAGCGAAGTCTTTGAACATTGCCAGAAGCTCAGCTTCTGTCATGTTCTTTGGTACTTGACCCACAAATAGCTTCACGCTCTCTTCATTACTGGTGCTGCTACTGCTTGATTTCTTCTCCTTTTTACCCTCCGCCATTACCAAAAAAAAAAATATAAAAGAAAACACTCTCTCCGTCTCTCTCCGTTCGTGTGGGTGTTCTTGTGACTCTCCCTCTCCCTATCTGTCTAGGATTCACTGGCTTTGTTTCTCTCTCTAGATTTCTCCTTGAAATTTTGGGTGATTTCGTCGTCGCATGGAAATTGGGGGTTTTCTGGATGGCAAAGTTGGATCTTCGATGGATAAATTATAATTAAAGAGTTGCAATTTGGGCATCGAATTTCGAGTGATTTACGACTCTGACCTTACAGCTGTTTGAGCTATAAGCTTCAAACGCCCATGCTCGTGCAGTTATTTGACATCTCGATTCAACCGCCAGTCGGCTTAAATTACTACAACGCCCTTCGTCTCTGTTTTTTCGTTTTTTCAATCATTTCTCTTTCATGGCAAGTGGCAGAGTGATTTTCTTTCTCTCAAGTCCTATTCCCCGAAAGGGGCAAAAAGGCTGATGATTGCCAAAAAGGGATGGGTTTTTTCCGGCCCGGGATTGACCCCTCAAGTTACATAAATTGTAAATCACCTGTTTTTTTAACTCCCTTAGATGATTTTCTTTGACTAGTTTTCCTCGCCCGTACTGAATTTTTCATTTTATTCTCTCCTCCGAACTCTGACGAGTTCGTCCAATTTTTTTTATTTTTTTCACGCGTATGTTTTAGCTCCGGGAACAAGCTCTTTCATCGGTAAGATTTGGATTCTCTTTTATCTTTGTTGGTACACTGGTAAAAAAATCATTTCTTGTAATTTTCTCTAAAACTAGAAACCCATGTGATAATTCAAAAAGACAATTTCACTCGTCAATCAAAGAGTGAGTGTACTCTCCATTATTTGGTTCCTATCCTTGGAAAATAGAAACAGTGAAGGCAGAGAAGACAGAGACAAAAGACGACGACAATATAATTGTATTTGATAATAATATACGAGATAATATAATTAATTTTGTATTTTATTGATTATGGTAGAAAAGACATGATAAATTATAAAAGAACAATCATTTTACTTTTAATATATATTATTGTTAAACTTATATATTTAAAAAGTATTCATCACTATGAATTGGAGTTGATTGTAACCTTGTTTTTGGCAAAAACAAGGTTACAATCAACTCCAATTCATAGTGATGAATACTTTTTATGCCTTTTTCTTGCGATATTTTCTAATTTTGATCAACTCCAGGGAGTCTTTATCCTGACTCCAATTCACAGCCATAAATAATTTTTACGCTCCCTCCTTGCGATAGTCCCTAATTTTTTTATTTTATATATATATATATATATATAGAAAATGTGTCACCATTTGACTTTTGGGTTTGAGAATTGCTCATGATGAAGTAAGGAAATGCTCAGAAATGTAACAATTCTACCTTCATTGCGACAATCAAAGGCCTAAGGCTCTAAGCAAGTCAGCCATTAAAGTGGCCAGCATGCAGGTCGAACCCATGGACCCATGCTGCTTGCTTGCTTGTGTTTGTGGCAGCAATATACAGGCCAAAGTGTGACAGAGTTCACTCCAATGAAAAAGACACGTCTTAAGTCTCCCCTAAATATGTCATGCGTTTCTTTCTTTCTCTGGCCTGTATACTGCTGCAACAAACACAAGCAAGCAAGCACCATGGGGTCGACCTGTGTGAATTCCGCAAATCTACTGTTACACGACCTCAAGGCTTTATCTATATCTATAATTTGTTGTGGACAAAAGAAGCGTTGTCTCTTTCTTTCCTTCACCTGCAGAATAAATAAAGAAACACCAAATCCATGCTTGACGGCAGCTGTATTTTGAAGCATGTGAGTGAAAAGATACGACCAGCAAGAATTGCAAGAAAAGGAGCCTTTCTTTTTTTGAGCCAGTCATAGGAAGCCGATTCCTGTAAGAATCGGGCAAACGCCCGCCAGTCAAGGTGTTCAAATTATCTGACTGGGCGGAGCTTTAATTTAATGCCTTCAGCATGTGCTTGTGTCCACTTGTGACGTTTATTTTATTTTATTTTATTTTCGGCAAGACAATCGTCCCTGACATGCCCATGTGTACGCTGCAAGCTGTATACATGCATTCATTTACTTAGGATGGTGATTTTCTCAGGCGGGGAAGAGCCATGGATTGGAGGAGCAAAAGCAACTTTAGGAGCTTCTACTTTTACCTCGCCCGTGCAGAGCGGAGGAGCAGAGGCCACCTCGCTCTTTTCTATTCCTGGAGTGATTTGACTTTCTATTTTTTCAGTTTCCAAGTCAATGTAATATTTCTCACCCACCAAAGAAAAGGACCCTCTCAGCTTGGAGTTTCCCTTGAATTTTCTTGCAACCAATCAAATCACGCTGCGCGATCCAAAGTCTTTGAAATTGAACTCGAAGGAACAAAAAGCGTGTTTGTCTCCAAGACGATCCGTCCGTTAAAAATTTATTTATTTATTTTTAAAAAATAAATATATTAATTAAAAAAACATTTTAAAAATCAACTATTACATCAAACATGTTTTTAATGTTGATAGGATTATTTGGCACACAGAGTGTTTGTTTAAGAGTGTTAAATATTGTATTTTAAAATATTTTTTAAAAGTAATTACTATTATAATATTAAATATATTTTTAATTTTAATGGGATTATTTAGCACACAGAGTATTTATTTGGTAGTGTTAGATGTTTCATTTTTAAAAAAAATTCATTTAAAATTATTAAAATAATATTTTTTATTACATATCAAAATAATATAAAATCAAATTTCAAGCAAACAGTATACGCAAAGGAGTAGCTAGGAAGGGGGTGATTGTTTTCTTTGTTTTGTCTTCTCAAGTATTACGCAAAAGGAAAGTTGATGACCAGAAATGGGAGTGTCATTTTCAGCAGAAAGCGTGCGAGGATGGGGAACAAGAGGGGTAGTTTTGTAATTAGGAATACAGGGATAGAATGGTAGTTTAGCATGAAAAACAGGTCATAGAGATAAGAACGCCAGACTGTCCCGCCAACGCCAGTTCCTTGTTGCTCTTTATTGTGTTACACCGCCGTCCACCTCAGCTCCCTCTCGCGCACATACTTGCTTATGTGTAGCTGGCAAGGTTAAAAACTTAAAATAGCTATGATAAATTGCATTTCTTCCCCTATATTCTCATAAAATTATAATTATAACCAGTAATAAAGACGTCGATCGCCACTTAATCTAATCAAATAGTGTTTTAAGATTAGAGATGGCTTTCCAGAGTTTTATAGAGTTCTTTTTAGGTTAAAATAAATTTAAATTTGAATTTAAATTTTTTAAATAAAAAAGTTATATATTTTCCAGCTGAAATTTAAACAAAAAATAATAATAATAAGAGTTTTATTAAAATAATAAAAATAGACAACTTGTCTACTATCAAAATAGTAAAGGAAATAAAAAACTTACATGAAAGATAATTTTGACTGAAAAAGTACGTTAATCTTCTAATTTTTATCATTACCTTTCTTATTCCTATAAATATCTATTTTAATTTCTATATAATTAAATAAAAATAATTTTCAAAAAATGCTCCATAACAAAGGGTTTATTTAACTATATACGTGTGTGTGTGGCTATTTCATCTGTGAGTACGGGATGTCATTGAATTTGACTGTATCCAATTTTTATTTGCCATGACCTGGATTAAATTAAAAATATATAAAACCTGATTTGATTTAATTAGTTCAGGTTAGGGTCCAATCAACATGCTTATTTATTTATTTATTTTGTGGTTGCAATTTTATTTTATAGGTAATGCATGCAATTTACACTTGATGCCAGTGACATGGTAGTAAAAGAGAACTTTTCTTCTTTGTTTTTGTATTTAGGTTTGATTTTTTTGTGTATGTTTATTATTTTTATAGTGTTTGTATATTTATTAAATTTTTAAGATATTTATTGAATTTAAAAATTAATTATAATGTATATAAGTTAGCCCGGACACCAGAATTAGAAAATAAGATTTTATAGTGTTTGTATATTTATTAAATTTCTAAGATATTTATTGTATTTAAAAATTAATTGTAATGTATATAAATTAGCCCGAACACCAGAGTTTAAAAAAATAAGTAATGCATAAAATTTTATTTTATTACTCATATAAGTTTTTGTATAGTGTTATATATAGATTGAAAGTTGTTTTTTTATAATTCAAGAATAAAAATATAGTTTGTTTATTTACGATTCATTAATTTAATAAAAGAAAAGAAAAGAAAAAGGAATCGGTAAGTATCTATTTATAGTGTGTTTGACTTGGAGGAGTGATGATTTTTTGTCAAAATTACAATATCTTTTAAGCACAAACCATACCTCTAAAAGCTATAAAAACATGCATTTTCTCACAAATCACATCTCTAAAAGCTATAAAAATATGTCTTTTCTTATTCAAACACCCTCTTAGTAAATAGAACCGATGATAAATTTTGGATATTTGAGATCGTTGACAGATGGAAACAAACCTATCATCACCAACTATGCATGCATTATTTTTTAAAATATTTTTTTATTTAAAAATATATTCAATTAAAGTATATGTTTTTATTTTTTAAAATTTATTTTTAATATGAATATAATAAAATAAGTTAAAAATAAAAGAATCAATCTTTTTAAAATCAATTTTCCACCGCGAAAAAAGAATAAACAGGATCCAAGTGCTGTGTGGATTGGCAACTAGCCAGTAATACTAATAACACAGGCAGCAAATGGTTTTATGGCAATGGGACCCTTGAAGTTTGTCTCCCATGGTGGAATCTCTCTCCCATGTCAAAGAGGGTATGATAGTGACCTCAGTTTTTTCGATTCAGAACTAGCTATTTGATCATATGGATTTGACCACTTGTTGCCCGAGACAGGAAACAATTGGCTATAGTATTGCATTGTTTGTCGTCCTATGGATGGACTTTCCGGCCACACTTGATCACAATATTAATATCAAAAACCCTTTCGTCTTCTTTATTATTATTTTTTTTAACCATGAATCTTAAGGTTTCTTAATTAATTCTTTAAGATTTTAAAATTACTAATCATATAAATTTTTAATAATTATAAAATTTAAATTAATAATTTTTAAAAAACAAACTTCAAACTTGATTAATTAAATTATATCCGTTAAAGTTGTGCAACACTTAACTTGTTATCCTGAATCCCGGATATCATCACTAATATTTTTTGCCTCCTTGCTCAGCTTAGTATTAACTCGTCAAAATCCAAAGTTTTGGTTGGTGAAATCACTAAGGATGTGAAATTAAAAAATAAATGAATTTAAAGAGTTGTATAAAGCTGTGTTTAGAATTATGTTTCAAACAGCATTTCATAAAAATTAATTTTTTATTTTTTTATATTTTCAGATATTTTAATATTTTAATATTAAAAAATATTATTTTAATATATTTCAAAAAAAAAAACATTTTAAAAATTAATTACTTGCATCCTCTAAAACACTCCCAATCCATAGCATACCAGGATAGATGCAGCAGGGCTAGCTCAGGCTACTGTGGGGATCTGAACGGGATAGGGCACTTATACAGTAGCAGCAGCTGCACACTGATCTTACTCCCAGGAATCAAAAGACGACAGAAAAAAGCATCAACGCTGGTTTAATCTAGAAATATTGGTTTTAACCCTGATATCCAGATCAAAGACTACTAGCTGCTGCGGTAGAAATTTCAAGTATAATGTTGCCGTACGTTTAACTGTCGGGGGAGAGCTGGAGCTTGCTTTTAAGAAACACCCAAAAAAGGTGAGAAGGGAAAGTTATTTGCAACTAAAGCAAATCACAGTGTTGTTGAGAAAACACACACACCAACATGGCCACTAATTGCCCCTTAATTTTACCTGCAACTGGTACAAGTCGACCTCATAAATCTTCCCATTTATTTCTCAACCATAAATTGATGTTCAGGAAACAGCCGAGGGAGAAGAGAGCGATGGTACGATTATTTCTGTAGAAAAACCAGATACAATGGTTATCCTCTAATTTCCTAATCTGATTACAACAATTCAGGAAGGCGTGAATATGACAGCACATTTCACTCGTATGCCTGATGATACAGTCCGACCCCAGGGAAAAACATGTGCATTGATCAAAATAATTATACAACTCAAATCAAATAAATGCAAGTCTCACCAGAACCCAAATAAATATTGGTCACCAACTCAAATGGCCAAAAAAATAATCTGCTATCAGAATCATCTCAATTCTCATGCGAACCCTCCTTCTGAACTTGCTGTGAGGGCTGCTTTTCTTCACTTGAATAAAACCACGGAAGTCAGGTATTGGGGAATGACTGTAAATGGACATTCCCTACCCTAGATGGCATCCAATCCGGCAAGCTTGCGCAGCTCCTCACATAGTATAAATGTAATTGTAGTTTGCGGACCCAATCTTGCAAATATTGCAAAGCCCCTACAAAGGTTTAAAAGTTAACACCCTAAAAGCACATGCAGGGACACGCACAAGAAAAAAAAAAAAAGAAAAAGAAATCCTTCAAATACTTCCAGAATGAGTATGAAAGTTGTATCATCTAATCATGATCTACTTGTCTAGTTAAGAGTCCAAACTAGAACCTAGAGGATTTCATCTTAAAATTATCAAGAGACCTAACAATGGCTATTATTGCAGCGAACCAGAGCACCAGATTGTGTAGAACCGTAAATCTTAATTATATATGCACCTGATTAAAAAAAAAGAAGCAATGCTCATGGAGGCCTAGATAAGAATCTCACCCCTTGTAAAGTGCCCTAGGGCCTTCTTTAAGCATAACCTGAAAACTCAAAACATTTTCTTTAAGCATAACCTGAAAACTCAAAACATTTGGTGTCAGACATGTAAGCCAATTTTCCCTTGTAAAGACTCATTAACAAATCCCGAGCTTACTCCACACATCACAGAAACATTAGATAAAGTCCTTAAAGAGGGGAGAAACAAAAGAAAAATTAACAGCAGGTTTTTCACCAATCTTCTCTCTTTCCCCGGTAGCAACTCATGAAACTATTGTGTCATGGATCATCAATTTGGACAGCAATAAATAGTCAACTGACAACTAAACAAGTAATCAAGCAAGATCAGCATCCTGTGTGTAAGGAAGCCACAATCTCTGGAAAGCATATGGTTTTATGCTCAGCAGTGATGGAGGATCCACACCCATAAGCCCACAGCACCAGCAGGAAGGAAAAGACGACAGTGCCAGTTCCCACACAATAAACAATAATCCAAATTACTACCATCTGAAAACCCGCCTGTCAGCTTACAAGTTGCAAAAAACACACATAAAGCTGTCCAATTCCAGTTGTACATTAATGCTAGCTGCAATTTCTTACTCTTTCCTTCACAAACTATTTCAGTTATCACTACTAGTATGCAAAACCCCTCCAATCCAAAAATGCCTAGGGGTATTCAACGGAAATAAACAGTGCAGATAGAAAAAAGTTTATGATCATAAATTAAAGTGAGTTGAGCATGTGAAAGAACAAAGAAATCTGATACCTGATATGCACAATGAAATCCATTTTTATAGTTTCCAACTGTTTTAGATTCTCGTTGCAGCATGAGGCGGGTTTTAATCATGTCCATAGGTGCAGTTACAAGAGTACTCACTGTTCCAGCAACTGTACTCGAGCTTCACAAGACAAGAAATTTGTTTAGGTAGCACCCACATGAATAAAAAGGAAAAGCAGATGCTTATCATGTATTAACTAAAAATGAGGTGTGCTTGAAAGTTAGCGGCGAAACAAAGTTCGTTCCACAGGTTACTTTGGGAAAAAGCATCAGGAAGGAAAAGCTTTACAGATTATGAGCATGAAAAAAAAAAAATGACATTGCTTCAGTTTTGACTTTCTACAGGAACAGGATGATCCTATCTGTCATCTACCTTCTATTTCCCAACTTCTCATCATTATAATAAATTCATGCATCTATTAAGAGAGATAGGGAAATAAAAACTTCAAATGGTGCCATACAGTAGATGTAGATGAAATCCTTCATCCAGATGTGTCCACCTAATCAGAACCTGCATAAATGGAAAACTGAAGAAATTTTTAATATGGGAGAATGAATAGAAAAATAAAGGCAACCAGTTTAGACTTCAATTAAACAGAAATCAATAATTTTGTAAAATATAGAAATTACTTCATGTATCCAGAGTGAAAAAAGAGTATGCTTAGAACTTGACCTGCTTGGTTTCATCATATGTTGCCAGTTGTGATGCAGTCAAAGCAGCAGCTCTCGCCATAGCAGGGCCAACCCCCTTCCAAAGAGCTCTTATTCCCTCTTCAGAAACAATTGTACGCATTTCCGCCATTGGTCCTTGTCTCTGATTTGCATTCATCTGCAACCGGACCTGATGAAAAACAAAGTTAGAATCCTAGATCAGATTTCAGATGAAAAGTTCCAGAATGCCTAACATGATTGCATACCTTCAGAACTTCGACTGGATTAGTAAGTGCAGTTGCAACTGCACCAGCAAATGCTCCTGATGCAATCTTAAGTAAGATATCGGTGGACCCAAAAGCCAAATTACAGGCATACTTCGAGGGTTCATACAGGCCTAAACGTAGACCTCCATAAAGAACTGACCTAATCAATGCAGGCATCAACCCCAGATACAAAGCCTTTGGCCCTTCCTTTTTCAATACTTGAACAGCCACTTGTCCCTGTACATGTAAGGAAACCCAACATCAATATCAGCTAATCAACCAAACAATTGCAATCACACTAAATGATTGGGGCATACCATTCCAGTCAAGGGGCCTCTTTGGCCAACATGTTGCATTTGTAGTCGAACCTTGAGCACATCTGTTTTTCAAGTTTAAGTATGAGATAGTTATGTATTCAATAGTGATGATACAACTTCCACACATATTTCTTCTAAGTTAACTTTTTCTATAATTTTGAAAAACATTTCGAAGGATAGATTCTACAGCATCTATAAGTAATTGATAGCTAAAATACTTGTTAAGATCTATAATACTATATTTCTGAACAATTTCTCTACTAATTCTAAGAAAAGTTATTCAAATAATGAACAAGAAGAACCAAATTCATAAGCTAGCAGTGTACCATTCCATCCACTTTCTCGCTTTCAAATAGATTGTCATCATCCAAGGGTACAGTGAGTAAAATTTGCAGCTTGAATGGTCAGAAGTCTGCAGTGCATGTTCAAAAACTCAGTTGGCTTCCTATGCCCTAAGGCTAAAGCATCCCATTTGCAGAAAAGAATACACATAAATTTGAAGAATGAATATTTTCATATAGCTGTGGAAGCTAATTAGATGGCAAATTGCATCATTTCAATCCATTTGAAAACCATTTGTTTTATTGCGTATTCCTTTTCCTTTTCTTTACCTCCCATGAAGAGAGAACAATACAAGAAAACAAAGTTCTGCACAGACCATCTAGTGAGCATGCCTAACTGCATTATACCATACATCATTAAGGTCACTGCAAACAGCTGTGATATTTTAAAATGCCATTTCCGATACATGTCTTAATTAATTTACTTTGAGATGCAAATTCGAAGCATTCGAGCCCAATCTTGACACAAAGGGAAACAACACAAGAAAGATAGCGAGCACAAGTAATACAGGATTCTACCAAACAGGATCACCACACAAAAACCCTAATTCAAAATTTTATTACCCAATATTTTTTCCTAATCAAAACTCCATATTACAGCTCTTCTAGGCTGCTTATATACTAGGAAAAAATCCTAAACAAAGCTGAAAAAATAATAAAATTTTTAAGTCAAATAGGAAAAATAATTCTAGATCAACTAGAAAAATATGACAAATCCTGAACAGTAACTTCTAGTACTTATTTGAAGGCCTTTTAGACCTCAAATGACTACAAAATTTTAATTCTAGTGGAAACAGGGCCTCTAGAATGTATTGGAAAAATTTCAACCCGATTCAATGGTTGGATTGAAAGTTATGCCCATTAGGCTGCACATTAGGGAAAAATCTCGGGCATCAAAGCTTGAATCTAGCCACGTTTCCAATGTGCTATTGTGTTGCAAACCAAACCTCAACGTCTCCAATCACGATAACAAATTAAATAAGATTCTAGGTTCCTTTTAGTAGGAATTATTCCCATCCCTTTTACATGGAATTTATAGAGAAATCATGATTGCACGACCAATGGGGGGAAGTGAGCCTTCATTCATCACTCCCAGATTTGATCATATGATTCAATAAAAAAGTAAAATAAATTTACAAGCAGCACGTCATTAAATATCTTGGAATGAATGAAACCTGGGAAGCATAAAACCGAATGCAAGGAAATCACAAATGTATTATTAAAATGAATCAAAAAAGAAAAATCAAGGAAGAGAAGAAGAACCTAAGGGGTGCGTGAAGGCAGTGGCAACAGCAACGGAGAGTCCACTAGTAGCGAAGTGAGATACCATTTGGGAAGACGAGACCGGCCATTTCTGCTTCTCCTCTGCCACTTTAACGACAAAAGAATCTAAAGCATCGAAATTGATTTATATAAAAGAAAGAAAGAAGGAAAGAAAGGCAAGCATGAAAGATCTAACAGCAACAGAAATGAAAAGAAACCTGAATTCCTGGAACCCGAATGGGAATGGCCGCCATCCATCTCTGCCCTTTCCCTCCACCTTTATTTTTTCTTTTTCTCCCGGCGGAAAGGAGAGCGTTGGGGATATTTCTTTTTTTAATGTTTTCGAACAAGCGTCCCCCGTCTTTTTTTTATTTATTTATTTGTAGTAACTACAACTACATCTTGTTTTTTTTTTTTTTAAAAAAAAAACACATTATGCTACGTGGTTTTCTTTTAACAAATAAAGATAATGGAGAAAATTGTAAATCTTAATTAAGGAAATGAAAAATTAAATGAACAAAATAAGACATTTAATTAATCCCACAAATTTTGTACCTTTATCCAAAACCATGTAGACTTATGACTTAAATATTCAAATGAGTAGATGAAAACTGTCAGGAGAGTATTGTGAAAATTTATTTAATTTTTTATTTCATATTTTTATATATTAATATTAAAATAAAATAAATATTATTTTAATATATTTCTTAAAAAAAAATGTTTAAAAAACAACACCAACAACTGATCATAAGTATCTCTTGAAATAGTTTTTCCCTCGCGACCTGATTTACAAGGAAGAAAGGATTTGCTTTCCATCATGACCTGATTTACAAGAAGGGTCTTAACTACTTGGTAACCTCACTTTCACTACCACATTTGCAACTTGCATTTGTTTACAAAAAGAGTAGCAACTGCTTATTCTGTTTAGGAAAAGACAAATTCAGCACCATCTCCTTCACCTCTTGCTCACTCGATTTCCTTTAGCTTCATTCACAAAGAGTCGATGCCTGTCATAAACAAAGTAAGCATCAGTAGCAAGGCAAGTAGGTAAACATGTCAATGAGAGTAACAATACCCTCATGTACTTGATTGAATCATCCAAAAGTGGGTCTTATATATATGCCCTTTACAACGAACTGTCTTGTGAAGTAGGCAGATTGAGCAAAAGATGAGCAAATCTATCGCAATCCTTCATCCAGCCAGTAAGCAGAAGTTCAAGTGTACTCTTAAGTTAGTTTCCTAAAGCACTGAGACCGAAATGACTTTTGTTATTACTGATGCATGGAAGCTATTACAAATCATTGATGAACAGAATTTCACAGGTTGGGTGATCAAATAAAATCATCCCTTTGCCAAAGGTGCAACAAGCATGCATCTAATCTCTGTGCGTGTGTATTCACACCAAGTAATTTGATATTCTTGCCAGACGGTGGACAAGTTCTGACCTCTCATAGTCTAATTTCTGGATAACAATCCCATTCAATAGAAGCTCTGAACTGTAAACTGCTGCTCCTGCACCAGGTTAGATCAAAATTCTTATCACAAAACTGAGAAAAACTTTTGTGGAGGAGAAAATGGAATTGTAGATGCCAACCTTTATCAAGAAGTGGCGCACAAATTGCATGATCTTCTTCACATGAAAGAATCAATAGATCATCTGGAATTTTCAAAGCAAATATCTGACTTTTCTCCATGATCTGCGTAGCATTGCTCAGAAACACTCATTTAAAGAGGTGCAAAGGCCATAAAAGAGATACAAGAAAGAAAAAGGGAGACAAAACCCTACGGCTGTAAGGGTGATAAAATGCCACCACTGAGACTACTAGCTATGCATGCATAATATCCATACCTGGCCATGAAGAGCATTGACCAAGCTAGTTATCATTTCTTTTTCAGGTTTTATATTTGGTGTAATGAAGACTCTTTTACCCTGTGCCCATGAGCATCCCAACAACATGAGACAATAAGGATATGAGTTTCGAAGCAAGCAAAAATGCATGTCTGGTTTGAGCAAAATCACCACAAGCTTAGAGAAACACCTTTAGAAGTGGTTGTTGGTTTGCACGAGCCAGTGAAACAGGCAGGCTAAAACCAATCTCCTTTTCCTTCTTCGCATCTCTTAAGATAAAGTTTTTCTCATCAATAAGGAGGCTTGCTTGCCCACAGCTCTCAAGCCATAAATGAGTCACCACTGGTTTACCAAGAGCAATAGCTTCCAACATGTTCCTTGTACGCACAAATCTATCCACTACAAAGTGTGTAGCATCCGCTAAAGATGATGCCACGGAAATGCCAAGCCTTGCCAAGATCTGTTATAATAAAGAGAGCACATATGTAACTAGTAAATGATCACGCTATTGGTTGGAAAAGATACAGAAGCTACCTTTTTCTGCTGCCTGATGACATTGTCACCTAAATGCTGGCTAAACAGAACCCCTAAATATGCCGTATCTCGCCGTTTCCTCAAATCCTTCCAACTAGAACCAGGTAATGACTTGGGATTGCCTAATCTAATAAGCTTTTTCATCGGGGATGATCTGGGAAGGTTTACGTTGAGTGGTTTTCTGTGGTGGTCTTTGCCATCAGCTATGGTGAATGGGGTATATTGGCTACTAGCTATATTTAAATGACATGGCAGTCTACGTCGTGTTCTTTTACCTTTGGGATAGCTCCATGCATTCAGCTTTAGCGAAATGTTTGAGGTAGATACCTCCTTGCTAGCAAGCTTTTCTTGGCTCAATTCATTGATTCTTCCTCCTTCAGATGTGTTGAAACAAAATTTGGGACATCTTCCTGTAGAGGTCGAAATTTTGGATGGTTTCGCAACCAAATGACTCCTCTTTCTTCTGTATGTAATTATACTACCCTCCATGAAATCATCTGTCCTTACCCCTGGATCAGCTGACCCACCATTAGTCCTTTTGAATTTGGATCCTAACGTTGGATGAGAGTCTTGGGAGGCAAAAGCATCCTGTAGTATCTGTTGTTTGCCAGGTGAAATGCTTTCAACTGACGCTGACAAACTCCCATAGTTGTCACATTCCTTAATTTTGTTTCTCCTCGCAGTTTCCTCATCCTTTCTTTGGTCAATAGTCTTACGAGATGTTGTGGCTGAACTTTTGCTCGCATGGATGGAACTCCTACCAGTTAACTCCCCAACCAAGGGTTTGCTTCTTTTCCTTTCTGTTGTTTCTGACAAGTCACGATGTAACTCCTGGTGACTAGGCTGTTTCCGAGATGAAACAGAAGCTCCCTTTCTAGCATAAACCTTTCTTTGCTTTGGCAGTCTTGTGATGTCCTCTAGACTGCAGAGAGCACCTTTTTCATAGGAAAGTTCCTTTAAATGAACTTTACTATTTGTTACACCTTTTGAAGAATCTACAAGAGGGTCGTTAGGATCTTGAAAAGCGTCACTAGCACTGCTATTAGCTGGGGGACCGTAAAATAATGCTTCCATGGCTTCAGCAGCTATTTGGGTGTTAAAACCAATATCCAACGTGTCTGATGTATTTCTTTCATTACTGCAAATGTCCAGCTCGTGCCCTGATGCAAGGTCAAAAAATTGTTCCCTTGGCTTATTGTCAGAAGTATTTTCAGATATAAATTCATATTCTTGTCCTGTTCTGTATGTCTCTTTCACACTGTGGTCTGCAACCCTTGAATCTGTGTGGGGTGAACTTGTTACTTTCTTATGAAGATCTTCATATTTCTCTTCACTGTCATTATCTGATCTGCAACCTCCTTTACGATCAATACACCCTGCCTTCTGATGCCTTGGTACATATCTCTTCTGGCAGCCTCCACAATCAAAAGACTCATCCATCCTCTTGCTAAAGAAATCAACTCCTCCATGCTGATCATTATCAACCCCCCCAAAGGTCTTATTTTTACAAATTGGGATTCTGGTTTTGATACTTTTGGCCAAATTTTGACAGCCTTTTGCACTCAGAACAGGAGGGGATTTCTTCCTGACAGTGTTTCTGAGCTCAGTTCTGGGAGAAAAGCTCACATCATTATCTGATAGGAAGTGATCCACAAAGCCAAGCGCACTAGCTTGAGATGACTCTCCAGGTTCCTCAGAGTCAACATAATTTAAACTTGCAAACTCTTGATCACATGTAAGCAATCGAGGACAATCAGTTTTCTCATCGGTGTCTTCAGCATTAATTAAAGCCCCTAAGGTCAGCCAAGTTGGCCAACGAGAGAACATAAAAATTAGTCACTCTACCTCATCAATATATATAATATAGATCTAAATTCATTTATAGAATCAAAACATATATCATCAGAAATCAAGAAAAAAAAGCTAAGCCAAGCAAAACTTTTACTGGAGAGAATCATGGAATAGAGACCTGCACCTTTATCTTCACCAGCAGAGCCATCAGAAACAAAATCTTCTGCGAAATCCTTTAGCCACTGAAAACGCGGACTGGGCTGCCTCATTTGTAAGCCTACTACTCCATTTCCTTTAATTCTTGTACCAGGTTCGGCATCAGATACCCTATCAGCAGCATTCTCTAATTGGTCTCCATGGATTTCTTCATCCTCACTGTCAGGGATTACCTGGCTCACTAGTTCATGTTTCGCATTCTCAACAGAATCACCAAGCACTTGAGTATAAAAACCAAGTTTCTCCACCTGGGTTTCTACCAAGGGACTATCGAGAAGAGCTGTATCATCATCAAAAGTTACGGTATCTTGAAATTGTTGAAGCTGGCCTTGGTTCGCTTCCATTTGTTCACTGCCAAGATATGAAGTAAAAGAAGCAGATTTTCATGAAATAAAAAAAATATACACATTATTATTAAAAGTGAAAGAATTCAAGTTATTAAATTAATATGTATTATTACATGTAAAGATCGAAATCCAAGAGAAATAAGTTAATGAAATTTCTACATTAAAAAGAAAACGAAATGCAAAAAATTAGAGGTTGAGAGGAGGAAAATTACCACGTAGTGAGTAAGAAAACTGAGAGCTAAAAATTATGAATTCTGGGATCGGGATTTTTCAATTCACGAGTGATCACCATTGATAAGACATTGTGGCTGATGATGATCAGTGATCAGGGATTTGGGAGGAGGGAATACGAAGATACTAATTGGGACCTGGGAGGGAATATTTATTTATTTCGCCAGTGGAGTGGAGGGAAAATTATTTCTTTGAGTTGATTATGCGTTATAATTAAGAAAATTAAACCTGCAGCTAACAAACAGGGCATTTGGTCTAGTGGTATGATTCTCGCTTAGGGTGCGAGAGGTCCCGAGTTCAATTCTCGGAATGCCCCTTATCCCCTTTTTTATCCTGTCAGTTTTGCCCAATTCTCGGAATGCCCCTTATCCTTTTTTTATCTTGTCAGTTTTGCCCTTGCAGGCTAGTTAAATTTACAGCGACGTTACAGGGGGGAGAAAAGATAAAAAGGGTTTCCATGCGACACGTCGTTCGTCTAGCAGCAGGGTGTAGACATCATCGGATGACCAAAAAACGAGATGGGGCATTCCGAGAATCGAACTCGGGACCTCTCGCACCCAAAGCGAGAATCATACCACTAGACCAAATGCCCTGTTTGTTGCCTGTGTTTATATAATTATAAACAAAAACTAAGTCCAAGAAATCCACTCCACTGCACTGGCGAAATAAATAAATATTATCTATATTTCTTCTACTTGGGAAGGAAATGCAATTTCTAAAAGTAATTATTGATCCCAGCCTTCTGTGATTGAGAAATTTTCTGCACTTATCATCATTTGTGACCCTTGGATATGTTTCTTTTATTCGCAACCTAAAATCATTGATGGTTTTTCTATCTAAGGTGGTGAATTTCTTCTGTACATGTTTGATTTTGTCTCTTAAACTAATTAATTAATCTTATTTTATTATATACTGATGCATGTTATTGTTATTATTATTTAATATAGACTTGAGTTGTGTATTAATCGTTCAATATAAATTTTAGATTACATATTGATCGGGGAGTGGTATTTATGATAGGATCGGTGTTTATGTCTTATTTTTTAAATGAATCAGGGAGAGTGGCCTGGTGAACTTCCAGCAGGGTTTACGGGACAAAGATACAATTATTATTTCGGGGTTGTTGAGAGTATTTGATTTTTAAAATATTTTTTATTTAAAAAATTATTTTTTATATTAGCACATTGAGATATTAAAAAACACAAAAAAAATAATATAAATTAAATAAAAATATTAAACTTTTTAAAAATATTTTTAAACACACGACAAACTTGAATATTCATCTCACCCTTGTGGTTTTACTGGCCGTGTCTGAATCAGTAACCTGCTGTGTCTTCTGAATTTCTGGTCTTGAATGCTTTCTCTTTTATCTCTGCATCTAAAGCATAATGTCCTCTGAATATATACAATCACAAGTTCATATGAAATGTAGAGAATCATCACTTATTTGGCTAATGTGCTGAGACCAATAAGAATTATTTTAGATTACCTTCTTTGTTTAATAGGTTAACTAAGGTAATTTTTTATGTATTTTTTATTTTTCAACTTTAATTTAATTAAAATTAAAATTTTATATATTTTTAATTTATTTTATATTAGAATATCATTACCTTACAATTTAAATTATAAATTTATTAAATTAATTCGAGTTGATCTATGCATTTTAATATATTTTGTGGGGTTGGTGCAATGAACTTAACTTATTCAAATATAATTTGAATGATTAATAAAAATATAATATGATTCAATTAATTTAAGTATTTTTTTTATGATTTGATTTTTTTTCCACGGCAAAAAAAAATTAATTAGCATTATTAATTTATGATATTTGTTATTGTTGTTATAGTAGGCATAAGTTGAGATTTAAATGGATTGGATTGATGATAGGCGTTCAGTATAGGGTTTAGGATACATAAAAATAGACAATGATACTGTTATAAGATCGGTGTTCATTTTTTCTGAAGGAATTAGAGACATTGTCTTGATAAACTCACAGCATGGTTTCCTGAATAAAAATCCAATTATTATTTTGTTTAATCTTTGTTAGCAAGTCGAAGTAATCTAGTAAAAACTAAAAAAAGAAGAAGGTGCAATTCTTTATCCAGCTCAAACTTCAGAGTTTAAGAGGGTGTTTTGTTTAAAAATTATTTTTAATATCAATATTATAAAATGATAAAAAACATAAAAAAATATTAATTTAAAATAAAATATAATTTTTTATTATATTAAATATTTTAAAAACATAAAAACAAACATAATCACCCATCGTCCAGCCCCCCCAAGATACATTCTGCTTCTTTTACATGCACCAACTTTGTGAGGAGATTTTAATTTTCAATCAAAACTATCTTTATAAATTAAATTTTAAGCTTGTTTATAATAAAATAATATTTATTTTTAAAATTATTTTTTACTTTAAAATATATTAAAATAATAATTTTTTATTTAAAATTTAATTTTAATATTAATACATCGGAACAATTTTTTAAAAAAAATTAAAAAAAAAAAAACCAAATATTTTCAAAAGGATTTTTCCACATAAAAAAGCAACTTTTTAACTACTCCCTTGTCTGCCACTCAACCAAACAACTTTTTGACTACTCACTTGTCTGCCACTCTCTGTAATCTGCTAGCATTCTTTACTCTTCCTCCTGCACCTCTCTCTACTTATAACTATTTACTTGATTGGTAATCTATTAAACTAACTTCTCACGTACATATTTAATCTAACTTCTCACATACATACATACATACATACATATTTAATCTTTCTATATATATATATATATATATTCTGAAACAACTCTGAAATCTTTTTTATTTATTTATTTATGTAGAGTGTCTGGATTAATTTACGCATATCACGATTAATCCCCACAGTTCATTGAATACCCTGCAAACCCAGTAGACAGGTAAGATACTATAGAGATAACAAACGTACATACCAGAACTCAAACTTATAGCAATAAAAAAAAACAAGCTTCTTCCATCGTTAGATTTTCACTATTAGATCAAACATTGAAATGCAACAACTCTGAAATCTTGATATGCTAACTAGTGGTTTGACTTACTTTCAAAAACCAAACATAATCACCCATCGTCCAGCCCCCCAAGATACATTCTCCTTCTTTTACATGTACCAACTTCAAAGCAATTGTGAGGAGATTTTAATTTTCAATCAAAACTATCTTTATAAATTAAATTTTAAGCTTGTTTATAATAAAATAATATTTATTTTTAAAATTATTTTTTACTTTAAAATATATTAAAATAATAATTTTTTATTTAAAATTTAATTTTAATATTAATACATCGGAACAATTTTTTAAAAAAAATTAAAAAAAAAAAAACCAAATATTTTCAAAAGGATTTTTCCACATAAAAAAGCAACTTTTTAACTACTCCCTTGTCTGCCACTCAACCAAACAACTTTTTGACTACTCACTTGTCTGCCACTCTCTGTAATCTGCTAGCATTCTTTACTCTTCCTCCTGCACCTCTCTCTACTTGTAACTATTTACTTGATTGGTAACCTATTAAACTAACTTCTCACATACATACATGCATACATACATATTTGATCTTGTGTATGTCTATATATATATATATATATATATATTCTGGAACAACTCTGAAATTTTTTTTTTTTAATTTATGTAGAGTGTCTGGAGCAGCTTGTGTGCTCCATGATTAATCCTTACGACCCACTGAATACCCTGCAAATCCAGTAGACAGGTAAGGTACCGCAAGGATGACAAACATGCATACCAGGGCTCGAACCCATGACAATAAAAAAAAATAAGCTCCTTCCATCATTAGATCAAACATTGGAATGCAACAACTCTGATTTTTTTTTTTTTTTAGATTAATGTGGGTATCCAAACTAACTTGCGCGCACCACAACTAACTAGTGGTTTGACTAACTAGTGGTTTGCTTACTTTCAAAAACCCTCCTCAGGCACATTCGCTCAATATTTGCAAATAAAGTGAAGGTATTTGCATATATGCAATAGTTACGATATATTCTCAAAAATTTAATTCTTTGACCAATTCCATACAAAATAATAAAAATAAAGGAAAAAATGAAACAATTAAATTCAAATAATGAATAATGTATAAGAAATAATATGTAATCCTCTTGAAAACCTTAAATTAAAGAAAAGAAAAATCTTGATAAACTATAATTTAAATTACAACTCAACAAATTAATCTACATGCATACCAGGGCTCGAACCCATGACAATAAAAAAAAATAAGCTCCTTCCATCATTAGATCAAACATTGGAATGCAACAACTCTGATTTTTTTTTTTTTTTAGATTAATGTGGGTATCCAAACTAACTTGCGCGCACCACAACTAACTAGTGGTTTGACTAACTAGTGGTTTGCTTACTTTCAAAAACCCTCCTCAGGCACATTCGCTCAATATTTGCAAATAAAGTGAAGGGATTTGCATATATGCAATAGTTACGATATATTCTCAAAAATTTAATTCTTTGACCAATTCCATACAAAATAATAAAAATAAAGGAAAAAATGAAACAATTAAATTCAAATAATGAATAATGTATAAGAAATAATATGTAATCCTCTTGAAAACCTTAAATTAAAGAAAAGAAAAATCTTGATAAACTATAATTTAAATTATAACTCAACAAATTAATCTAGGATGTAGCTTATATCGGGCTGGATCTAACAAAAATAAAAAAAAATAAAAGTTTAGGTGATTTGGTAAAAGAATCTGGATGACTTCATAAAAGTTGATTAAAAATTTGATTGCAATTCATTAGCTATTTTTTTAACAAAAATAATATAATTTTATTTTATTAAAAAATAAAAATAAAGATAAGTTGATAATTTGATTAAAAACTCGTGATAAACAGGGTTTAAAAACTATATGATAAACCATGAAAAAGAGGAAAAAAGCCAAAAATTACAAAAGAACCGCATCAAGCAATGTCGTGCATTTCTTTGCCTTGGAGCAATTTGCAAGGCATGATTCGTCCGTCACGTATATTGTCTTGCAAATGGGCCCTATAGTCTCAGTGTCAACTCCTCGAGTCTCTTTCTCTCCCTCTCTCACTCGTGCTTGAGCAGAAGATTCTCACACAG